CTTCTTAGACGTCATGTAGTACCATTCACCCACCTCACTCTCCCTGGGGCTCACCTGGCTCCAGACACACTACACTGACTGCCTTTCTGGCCCTGGAACTGCCGGGTCCCTTCCTGTATTTCCTTTGCACTGGTGCCTCTGCCTGGCAATGTCTGGCTTATCTTTCTATGGCTGACTCATTCTAAGCATCCTGGTCTTAGGCTGCTCAGTAAAGTCTAGCAGGTCATCTATTTAATCTCTCCCACACCTTAGTCCCTCCAGCTCTGTATCCAGTAATGGTTTCTTTTCCAACTCGTGATACTATTTTAAATGGTCATATTTATTTATATGAATGTAAGATCTTTGAGGGCAGGAACCTTATCTAAATTGTGCCCCATTCTGTTCCCAATGCCTAAAACAAAGCCTGGCGTCGATAAGAGACCCCTATCTGAGAAGCTGTCCAGTGAAAACATGTAAATGGCAATGCTCACCATTTTTCTGTGAAGAAAACTAAGGGAAAAATTCTCAGAAGAGGACTTCTTAAGGAGTTTCATCCAATCATGCAGTCAGAAAAGGCCAATATCTGAACCAGGAGAATATTAAAGGGAAGGAATGCTTTACAATAAAGAATAGTTTCTGTGCCTGCATATTACTCTTCCTGGCAGTATACTGCTTTACTTCATGAGCAATACTTATCTACTACCTTCTTATTAGAACCCAGAAAGGTAGAGGTCTTGCTTTGTGATTCCACTTCTATAAGTGGTTTGTGAATGGGATTATCTTTCAGAACCTTCCCAATGAAGGACACTGATATATTTTTTTTTTAAGACTAATCCCACTATATGTCAGTGGTTAGACCTATTGTTGCTATGTTTTCTTGTTACTGACATTATAACTCAGTCAAGGGATGAATTCGGTGAGCCCATCTGTGAAACAAAAGACAAATGATTTGGAGCTAAGCTAGCTCATATCCATGATGAACAACTGCTGCACTAACAGGAGGATAAAAAAAGTTCCACAATATTAAACCCCATTTGGCCCTTAAAAAAAAAAAATCTTTCTAATCCTAAACGGAAAGTAGGCATGCTTCTGAGATTTCAGAAAGTGGCCTGAAGCCTGAAGGCAGGCAAAACTGTGGACTAAATCATTTTGTCAAAAAATTCATGGGTTCTGCTTTCATTTCTCATTTTATCAGGGCTTTTCTTGATGAATTGCAGAGGCCTGTAACCATCAATGCCTGAAAAGGCCAACCATTCATTCCCAGCGTCCCGTTCTTGGTCACTGTGCAGGGTCCTTGACACCAGCACTGGGCTGGACCCCGCTGGGGGGCTGAGCAGAGTCTGCAGGGGGAAGGAAGGGAGGGGACCCTCACTGCCTGAATCCCACCGTCGAGGCACGGAGGTAAATGAGGCTGGGCCTTCTGCAACGTCACTTTTGAATCCTTTATAGGCACAGCATGCCTCGCCCCTCCTCCTCCGGTCCTGGAGGGTCGCACCCGGCTCAGCAAAGAAAAGAGAGATGAATGCCCAGGATCGGGCTGTGGTCAGCTGTCTGCGAACCCTCTGAGCCCGGGTGACTCAGTTTTCTACCCTGTCCAATAGGGTGACCAGAAACCCAACCTACCTCCACGGGCGGTTTCAGGATAGCCGCTCCAGGTTGGCCATGGGCAAGTGGCTCTGTCTGCGGTCGCGCCCGCGGGGCCCTAAGTGGGCGGAGGGGTGGGGCGGGGCGGGGCGGAAGACGGCTCAGCCAGGGACGCGCAGCTCACGGCCCGCAGTCTGCAGCCCCGGGACCTCCGCGAGTACTCGGCCGATGACGTCAGCACGTTGGTGTCACGTACGGAGCCCGCACCTCTTCCGAAGCCCTGAAGCCCCGGTTGGGACTGAGTGCCAACCGAGAGAAGCCATCTGATTGGTGGACTAGGTCGTCAGTCATTCGTCGGCCAGTAAGCGGCACCAGGAGGTGGGGCAAGGCCGGAGAAGAGGCTGGGGATTTTGTATTACAAAGGCGAACCAGAGCTCGTTAGACTTTGCATCTTTCGAGTCACTCCCCTCTCCACTCAACTATAATAAGCGTTTCGATTTCTGCTGTTTCAGCCGCCACCAGTCTCTTGGTGGGTTTTTAGGTTCGAGCGCGTGGAAGCAATCGTGGAGATGTAATTGCAGAACCCCTATGTGACTTAGTGGTTAAATGCTCCGATGCGAACCGAAAACGTTGGGATAAGAGAAAGATGTGGCAGTCAGCATTGGTCTGGGGTAGTTCAACTGGTCAGAGCGGAAACCAGGGCAGTGGAGTCTGGGTTTTGGTTTTTTATTTGGAGGCAGCTATGTTTTATTCTTACTAGCTTAAAAATTGAATTAAGCTTCACCCCACCCCTGATATTAAATTTAAAAAATTATATTAAGCAGTGAGCAAGTGAAAAAAAGTCTACTTCCATCTTAGTTCCTCAACCAAGCATTCGCCTACTGGGGCAACCAATGTTCTTATGAATTCTTCCAATGACATTCTAAATTTAAATAATTTAAAATTGCATAAATAATACCCCCCAAAAAAATGTTTTAACATTACAGAGTTGCCAGAAAGCCTCCTCAGGCACCAATCACAAGCCCTGCCCATAGATAAAAGCTCTTATTTCTTGTATATTCACATATTTCCTATGTTCTTTACTTTCCTTTTTTCCAAATCAATATATCTTTAAGATTGTTCATAAGTATATATAGATCTACCTTGTTCTCTTAACACACTGTACTGCATAGCATCACTCAGAAAGCATACATTTTATGGTGTGTTAGTCTGGGTTGACTAGAGAAACAAATTCATAGACACTCCTAAGAAAGCTTTATATAAGCAGTAATTGTATATTAAGAAAACATCTCAGCCTAGTCCAGTTCAAGTCCATAAGTCTGATATTAGCCCAAATGTCTGACACCAGTCTATAAATTCCTCTTCAGACTCACTCAACATATGCAAAGACGTCAAATGAAGGAAGATCACAGGACAGTGGGTGGAAAGTCTTGTGGATCCAGTGGCGGTAGAAGCATCTCAGCACTGGTGTGGGTCTCCAAGTGACTCCTCCAGCTCCAGGCCTCTGGCTCCATCAGTGTACTTCCATGTGGCTTGTCAGCTGAAAGACAAAGCAGAGCGAGTGTGCCCCACCTCCAGGAAGAAAGGAGTTTCCAGAATCTTCAGGAGAAAGTCATCCCCACACAGAAGCCTTATTGGCTATGACCTGATTGACATGCTAGATTCTACCCCTTCTCAAGTTGACAGGAGATTATTGTAACTACCATATATGGATAGTTAATATTGAGAAATATTAAGTCAATAATTTAGCTAAACTACCTGAACTTTCATTCCTGCCTATTTAAGATACACTCATATGCCATCAAACAAAAAAGTTTTCTATTTAAATTTAATTAAGCATTATAATTGTTCATGGTGAGAGTTTGGACTGATAACCAGCCACATAATTATAGCCCAATGTAGATTGAATGGGTTGATAAGGATAGATCATATTTGGTGTGACCTAGCAAAGTGTATGAGGATAAGTCAAAAAGTAATGTTACAAAGTCATATAAACTATTTTTTCCCTACACAGAAACCTTTATTTCACAAAAATATAATAAAAATGTAAAGTCATTGTTTCTCAACATATCTTCCACCTAAATTGTTTCCAGTTCTCTAACTGGTCTCATAAGTATACATTCTTAGATTTATACCACATCAAAATGGTAGTTTGTGTATCCTTCACAGACTCAAAACCTGCTCCTTTGAATTTTGGAAACAAAAAGAAGTCTGAAGTCAAGATTAGGAATGAACAGTGATAAGATTTCCAATGTCAAGGGCTGAAGTAGAAATAAAGTGTTTTGAAAATGATGATGGTAACATATGTACAAATGTGCTTCATACAATGGATGGATGGATGGATGGATGGATGGATGGATGGATGGATGGATGGATGATGGATGGATTGTGATAAGATCTGTAAGAGTTCCCAATGAAATTATTGGGACTAAGATTTCTCAATGAATTTCTCATCAGACAATCTTTACTACCTTTGAAAAATGAGTAGGTCCATTGTCATGATGAAACACAATTCCTTGGCACAAATTTCCTAGGTTTTTTCTAACCAAGGTAGTTTTCACTGTTCTTAAAACTTCTTCCTAACAGGCCATTCTACCTGCTATCATCTTTTGCCCTTCAAGAAAAGCCATTAAAACAACCTGTTGGGGTCATAAGATGTGTTGCCATTATCTTCTGGGCCTGCCTCTCTGCCTTGAATATAACTGGCCCCGCAGATTCACCTAAGAAGTCACTGTTTTGATGGGCCTCATTCTCTGGTAGTATTGGTAAATTCAAAACCCTGGTGTGCTAGGTACATAATCCGGTGTCAATTTGAGAGGATTGCAAGTGAAGGGGTGAAGTCTGGCCTGTCAAGATATAACCAGTGAGGCTTCTGTGTGGACATGGCCTTCCCCTGAGAATTCTGGGAAGTCCAGGATTTCCTCCTCTGAAGATTTCCTCCCCTCTGCTCACTCCCTTGGAGATTCTCTACTGACAAGACACACGGCACTATACTGACCCCATGCCCTGGCAGCTGGAGAAGCCACGTGGAGACCCCTGCCAGTGCTGAGATGCTTACACCACTGGACCCAAAGACTTTCTACCCACCGCCTTGTGATTGTCCTGCATTTGGCGTCAATGCATGTGTTTTGTGAGTCTGAAGAGGACTTTATACAATGGTATCGGACATATGGGCTAATATCAGACTTATGGGATGGGACTGAACTGGGTTGGGATGCTTCCTTAAGTACAATTACAATTTATATAAAGCTCTCTCTTATACACATATGAGTTTGCATGGATTTGTTTCTGTAGTCTACCCAGACTAACACTTGTTCTATAAAATTATCTTCATTAGCTTCAGTTGGAAAGATCGGCTCTTTGAGCTAACTGATCTTCACTTAATGCTTTTGGTACCCTCCTAGCCAAAAGCTTGCTGAGGCCAAAAATCCTCACTTGAAATAGAAAATGGGGAACCATAAAAGCTCCAAACTCCAGGAACTATCATATCACTGATGATTCAAGGGTCATTTCCACCAGTTACTGGACTTTGGGCACAGTTCCTTCATTTGTTGAGGTTAATGGTCTTCCATTTCTTGAGTCATCATTGATGACTTCCCGGCCTTCCTTAAAGTGTTTGATCTATCTTAGTGCAGTTATTTTATATGGGGTAGCATTCCCCAAACCTTGTTTTAAGGCTTCGGTGATTTGGGAAGATGTCCTCCGGGAGAGTTTTATTAAAAATTGTTAGTGCTGACCTCCAGTTCATCTTTTGTCATGCTACAAAAGAATTTTTTATTAAGGCACCCTCGGGAGACTAAAGAACCCTGGTGGCATAGTGATTACCTGTTGGACTGCTACCCACCAGGTGAGCAGTTCGCAATCACCGGTTGCTCTACAGGAGAGAGATGAGGCTGGCTACTCCCATAAAGAATTCCCAGTCCTGGAAACCCATGGGGGCCATTCTACCTCATCCCCTCGGCTTGCCATGAGTCAGAATTGACTCTGTGGCAATGAGCTTCTTTGCGTTTTGAAAGAGACTGACAATTATTGAGAGAATGTGTCTTTTGCTGTTCATTGATCAGAGAGGTGGGTTTAAATATATTCTCTTTGGTAAAAAACACGTGCATGTATGAATGGGAACCTTTGTAGCAGTACTATTTGACCTACCTCAGTAGTTCAATGCACCATAAGCAGAATATTTGCATGAGGCATCTCCCTCTTCAAACATCATAAATGTATGGGGATGCAGGGAACTGGTGTTAGTGTGTGCCACCCATCATTTCTGACTCAGACTCGACAGAGACAGAGTAGAACTGCCCCACAGGGTTCTGGAATCATTATAGAAGCAGTAGTCTGGGGTTTTTCCACCATGAAGTGGCTGGTAGATTCAAACTACCAATCTTTCAGTTGCCAGCCGAATGCTTAAACATTATGCCTATTGTAAATATGAAGCAACTGTCTAAATCACATATAACACACTTGAAATGTTCTAAGCTATGTTACATATTATGAAAATTGAAAGATTCAGAGAAAGTTCTTCCACAATCAGCCCTAGTCACCTGCTAAGACTACTACTTTCACTTTCCATTCGTTTCAATAGACTGCTCACATCTATGAGACTTAGTCAATACTTTTCAAAGGATGATACAGTGTATACCTCCTGTTACAATGTTTGTGCCAATGTATTGCTCTTATTAATCCATCCTTTGAGGATGTTGCTTTGAAGACTAAGGTGCTCCTGACCCAAACTATGGTATTTTATATTTTTAATCATTTTATTGGGGGCTTGTACAATTCTTATCATAAATCCATACATCCATCCATTGTGTCAAGCACATGTGTACATTTGTTGCCATCATCATTCTCAAAACATTTGCCTTCTACTTGAGCCCTTAATATCGGCTCCTCATTTCCCCCCTCCCTCCTCCCTCCCTCCTCCCTCATGAAACCTTCATAATTCATAAATTATTATCATTTTGTCATATGTTACACTGTCCAACGTCTCCCCTCACGCACTTCTCTGTTGTCCATCCCCCGGGGAGGAGGTTATATATAGATCCCTGTAATCGGTTCCCCCTGCCTCACTTGCATTGAATAAGTAACATGGAAGAAGAATTGAAGCATTAGAATTGTGGGGCTACTGAAGCATAT